AACTTAACTGTGAATATCTCGAAAATGTTGGTGAAAGGCACCTGCAAAGGGAAAATCTCGGGGAAAATCTAATATTTCGAAGGATTTCCATAAGGGCTTGATTCTTCTTGCATTATATAGCGTAGATTGTGAATGTCTGCCATGTTTATGTGTAAAGAGCTTCCTTTACCAAGAAAGTACATGTAGCTGCCACCACCTTATAACCTAACCATTTACTATTTCGGTTTAAAATGCTCTTTATCTGTACAAGAGTTGTGCACAGTTTTTGTGTGCTTATTTCACTGACATAAGACGCGAATGCTTCTTGCAGCTTGTAAACAAGACAATGAGGTCAGAAAGACGTATGACGTTACTCTACTAACAAGTTCGTCAGATATCACCAGTGTGAAGTTGGCAACACTTCATATCGTTCACAATGTACTTGATTTTTGACCTGGTTTGTATTGATTTTTAGGGGAATTTTCCGAAAGAAAAAAAATTCCCCTTATATGTTGGTTTTGTCCGTCTGTTTCTCATCTAACTCGAAAACGCAAAGAGGCAGCGATGCCAAACCTTCGTGGCAAAAAATTCCCCTACTGAAAATCGTATGCGATTCTTCGTATCTTGTATTTATCTAGTGTTTGAAATTAAAACATCAAAAAATAGATTGAAAGATTTGTAATTAATTTAAACTCTATCTGTGTTCCTATCAATTGTCTTTATTATCGTTCGTTAGTGTATTTTGAGATAAACTGTATAAAATAAAACTCGGCATTGTTTACAAAAAATCCAACAAACCAATGGTTGACAAACAGTGGGAGGGGGGCTCCTACCTTACTGGCAAGGGGGAACTGGACATAGATTAAAGGATTAAAGCAGTAAAATCATCATAATAATTTTTTTGTATATAGTTATATATTATATCATATTTTTCAAAGTTTTGAAATGACATGTTTCTACCACCAGCCATTTTTATTGTTTGTTGTCGGCTTCCATGGATACAATAATCAAAATCTCCATAAATCCATGGCCTACCATATTTTTGGTTCATGGCTAAACTTTACATTACAGCAATGTAATCATCAAACATAATGCAAAACGTTTGTGTTAAGATATACAGGGTGTTGTGGTTAAATTACCAACTTTGGGTCAAATCTCAGAAATGGAAGGCAAAAAATTTTGTACGACTTCACTGAATTCTACGTAAAAATATCTAAAATAAACAAACAGTTTTTACCCCTTTTCTATCTTACATGGGTAGTTACTATAACCGAGACTATAACATCCCAAAAAGTCAAACTTTCCGTTTTCACTCTGTGGTGCGGAAACAAATGTGGCTAGGCCAGATTGATTTGGTATTAAAAGGTTCAGAAAAAAGTGGCATAGGGCCGCGAAAACCGCAAGTTTTCTATCATTAGAAACCGCTGAGATACATTGCAGCTCGCATTGCAGTCTCGACCAAAATAGGACACACGGTACATACACTCGTATAGTCAAAACTTTTACGTAATCGTACCACTTAGCGCTGGACTCCCCCAACGTTAAGGTGAAATGGCGCCTCTTTCCGGATGGTGTGTGGTGGGGGGGGGGGGGGGCATGGGTACATGGTGCTTATTTCCTGTAGGAATCCGTCGTCCGAACCAATATACTTTTAAATCAGATAGGACGTAAATGGCAAAGAATACTAATAATAATCCATAATAATTCATCTTTCATTAACATGCATTCACTTTTACTATGCGAAAGGTAGGCTGTAGGCATTCAAATCCTCATTACTACACACGACTGGGAAAATGTACTGAATAAATATAGCAGAAGAGAATATTTACGGAACGGCGCGTCATCGTGATCGCACCCAAATCAGATAGGTACCAAAATATTTTCAAATATGTAGGCGAATTCCGTAAATTACTTTTAAATCTGCAAATATTTCTCTTATGTCATTGAAAGTGTATCTACCGTTAAAATTTTGCTAAATATTTTTTAACTACTTATTGACGTCACATTGCGTTTACACAAGTGAATTAGAGAAATTGGCTGATAATTTTATTCAAGGATTTTTAAGTAATAATTAAATGTGTGCATAACGACATCGTATATTGGTCGATTAACTGTAAGTTCTGGGTCAGATACTTCGATTTTTGTTAATAATTTCCGCTTCAGTTCTGAAAATCGGTAGGACAAGTACGTCAAAGTTTCTGATATTTTGACGTTTCTCGTAGTGTTATGTTCTTGCACCCAACCAATCGACGTCACTAATTTTTAATGATTCTCGGAGAAGTAATCTTGCTCTATTGGATTTCTTTCTGAACCTTGACAATGAACATTACTAATAAACATTATAAATAGATAATAATAGTAATTACGTTCGAAATTTGAAGTTTATTGTTCCGTACCTGATGTTCTGATAACTGAAGTCAAATACCGTAACGGATTTTAAGGAGAAAAAATTGTAAAGTCATTCAATCTTAACAATTCGACCTTCAGTGAAAAATGAATAAGACTAATCTTAATGAACTTGATTTTGTAAGGTACCTACCATACATAAACATAAACAATGAGAGGCGTGTCTGTGCCTACAAGAAATGCCATTGGAAGTGACGGAAACTATTTTGTTCTTTATAAATCTCCATGAACTTTTCATTACTCTGTCTAGTACTGACTTCGCGGCGCCATCCGTTTAAGTGTATACGAAATTGATTTAATTGATGACATTCGGAAAGCTGTAACTATATCGCAGCAATCCAAATTATTAACAAAAGCCCCCGCCTAGTTAAAATGTCGGCAAACTTAATTGTTTAAAATTCGGTTTATACACCAATAATTATTTAAATGTGTTGCAAAGATCATTTATTTAATTAGTAATTTATGTAAACAAGTTGTAAATCAGCATATGCATGATGAAAGCGCGTTTTTGTTAAGACGATCAGTATTTTATTAGTAGAGTTAAAAATTATCGATCTCGCGAGTACTAACCCCAAATAGAGTAGAGCCTGCAAGTGCACATCTACACTACAGCAAAAAGCTTTTAGTGAAGATTTGAAGTCTTGCTATTGGCTATTGTATTTGCGGAGATCTCAGCCGTTCAGCCAGCTAGCCAGCCAGTCACAACGAATATCATAGCGTATTTTTTTAATTTCAAAAATACGCTTAAAATGTTGTTCTGTTCGTCAAAACTGGGAAAGCAGTTTCAAGATATACACGGGTTTTTAGCGCATTTTTGAAAAAAATACGCTATTATATTCGTTATTGCTGGCAGGCCGGCTGTCCGCGTTAGATCTCCACAACTACAATAGCTAGAGACTTCAAATTTTCACTAAAAGCTTTCTGCTATAGTGTAGATGTGCAGGCACTAGTCTATTTTGAGTTAGATTACTTGTAAGATCGATAATTGAAGAAAATAATTTCGATATGGGTTTCGGAGGTGCTATAATTTTACCGTTAGATAGCGCTACCTGTATAAAAACTTATTATTTACTTTGTGATTTGTTTTACAAAATGAAGACGTACCGTCAATTGAAATTAAATAAAGTTAATTATTTAACGCAGCCAAAATTACTCGTGACATCGATAATTTTAAACTTCGCTAATAAAATACTGACCTGCATTACCAAAAATGCGCTTTAATCATGCATATGCTGATTTACAACTTGTTTCATGATAAATAGCTTCTTTTGCAACTAAATTAATGTATTGGCTCCACGCTAATAAAGATTTTTCGAAATCTGTGTTCTCTTTTCTCTTTAATGTTGCTTAAATATTTTCTTTTGTTTTCTTGTGCTCAACTGCTTCATTAAAACATCTTTATTATTTCTTTTTTCTGCATTTTACCGTAATAAAAGCAATCCGAAGAAATAGAATTCTTTTGCTTTCTGAATAATTTGGTTTTGTTCATTGACTCTTCTTCCTGTCTGTTTTACAGCAGATGCGATTGGGGTGGGCTTCTTGATTCTTGAATATGAAAGTTGCTATCCACATCCGGTAAAACCGGAAGTGAATCTATCATGATAATATTTTCATTCGATAGATCATGAAAAACTATGTCGGTATACAAATTTTCAGATTTCAATTATTAATGGTCTGAATATAACTTTTAGGTAACGGCATTGTTTAAATAATTTAAAGAATGGTAACGGTTTGCGTACAAGAGCCTATTTTCTTGCATGTTTTCTGTCATAACTTCGCAGAACTGTATTTTTCGGTTGTAGTCGGACAGTTTTGAATAAATAATTTGCATTAGTTTTGTCCCAATGGAAGCTCAAAGTCCTGTGCTTTAGCTGCTTTACGAATACACATAGTTGCAGTTCTAGTAAAATAACCCAACCTTTGTATCTGGAAACTTCATTAATTACTCTTGGTCTGTCCTTTTCATATTTACAGCGGACTTCCGTGCTTCAAATTTTGAAACTAACTTTGCGAGATGCAGAACAACGGCAAAAAATGGCTTGTAAAGTTTTAGTGACTGGAAAAATCACTCCAGAATAATGGAGTTGGAAAAGAGGTGACGATGGACACCTTCACCCAGTAAGAAACGCAGCTCTGGCCTCTGCCAGCCCCAGAGGAAATTTTACAAGCCATTTTTTGCCGTTGATGTTCTCCTACCAACTGCGGGGATAGCGATGGATGCAAGACGGCTGGCACATTTCGCACCATTGCCTGTGCCAGCTGCGAAGGGAGCTGTTTTAACTCTCCACCAATCCTAGCAGAAGATGAAGAGGACGTAGACGATCATTATTCGGAAAGAAATTGTACGTACATCTGAATTGGACATCATCAGGAAATTTCAGTTCATTTTTGATGAAGGTAAAGTCGAACTGTCGAAGCATTAACACCACACATGTCAATGATTCTTGAAGGAAATTTAATTTTAATTCCCTACAACCATCCACTTGTACGTTAAAAGCTGATGACGTAGAGGAAAAGTTCGACCGAAAACGTGAGTTTGCCCACCTTCGAGAGCCCGTAGCTGAAAAAAATGCATAGAAACAAAGTACAATTGTATGGGCCCGTTTTGATAAGAGAAATGTTCGAGATATAGCCGAAAAAAACCCAAAACTATACCTTGAACCCCCACCTCTTCAACCGGCGGCACCGAAATCATTCGTAGAATGACTGGACCAGAGTTTCCAACTTGACACATTGCAAATCTTTGCTGCCGTTACCATAGATTTCATTATAAACGTCAACTTCTTGTCATATTTGCAAAATTTCTTCGTGTTAGTTATTCATCATGTTGATGGTATTGCCCATGTTTATATTTGTACTTGTTAAAATGACCGTCGAAACTATACGCCAGTGCGCTGAAGCTTTCCGCCAATGTACTCCTAAATAAATAATAACAATGGAAATTCAAAAGAAAACCATTTTGGAATCCGTCGTGGTAAGTTAAATTCAGTTTCTTTATGGTATAAAATTGAAATTCGATTAGCGCATTGTTAACTTACTGCTGGTTGTCTGCTTTTTAAACACACACACAGACTTTACCTGTCTAGTAGAGAATCGTAATGTAACAATTTCCGAAATTAGAGTGTTTTGTCCAAAATTATTTAATTATAACAAAAGTGCATCGTTAAAATCTTATAACCGAACATTTCATTGTACAACTTTGGTATACTTTGCTACCGCAATTTAAAATAAATAATAATTTCCAGAGAATGCTAACAAATTCTATTGGAACAGTATGCACGGCCGCTAGGGCGTAGGTTCTTAGCATAGATAAAAATGAGATAAGGGCGCCAGGGTCTTTAATCACTGTCACCAATTCAGTACTGCTTACCTGACCCAGGATAAGTCCATTAAAATCTCTAGTAATAAATAGATAAATAAATTACGCGGTGCTAAGATAGTAGTATTCTATTAAATTAACTTCGATACGATTCGAATACAGAATTAAATTAAAAACAATAAGTACGTGAAATTGAGTTGAATATTTGATTTAACAAATTGACGCAAATGAAAATCTACGAATTCTGGAATAACTATAATAATTGTGGGTACTTATATTAATTATGGTACCTGTGATAAAACCAAAAAAAAACTGCAATAATTGTGCCGACGGAAGGGCTGTAGGTGTGAGTCGGGAGCGCTCGCAACCCGGTTCCCCAAACCAAGTTTTAAAATTAATAACTAAAATACTGTAATGCTAACTTGGTTTGACGATACCGCCTAAGGGAACACCCTAAATATACACGCAACCTTATAACACGTTCAAGTAACTTTTGGAGCGACCTCGTAGATTCCCTGACAGAATTTTACTTCAAAATTTGACTCTAATTAGTGATAATAACTTAATAAAAAAAAATGTATTCGTTCGATATAAGAAAGTTAAAGTTGATATTCGATGTTCGATAGTAAACAGAAATTCGGCGACTCCAATAGTTGGTGATAATAAATATAAAAGAGAGCTGACCTTAACTGAAGTTTAGCTTATCTTTGGGACGACAGCGGCCATTTTGATAAATTGGTAAAGGTGATAATCTCCTTGGCGTGCGGCATTTCCTGGGCAATTATCTTCAAGTAGAAACGGTGATAGGGTACGTCTAATTTCCGGACGAACTCCTTTATATACGATTCCAAATCAAAAGTAGGCGAAATCCCAAAATGGGAAAGAAAACGGAAAAATAAACAGGCCTAAAATAGTTATTGACGATAAAACCGCGTAATACAATGGAAATAATACCTGAGATAACGGGCGGCCTGCAGATATAAGTTGCTGTTTAAATCAATTAATTCTTGAGTTATCAAGTCTTCTAAGACAATGCTAATTAGATACTTCTAACTACCTTTACTAAGGATAACTCAAATTACTTTTATATTCGCACTCGATTAATATCAAAATGGATGCAACAACGACCAAGTGCGAAGCAACAATACCCAATTATTCCAATAATAGCGATCGGCGTTATCATTTATCGCCTTAAATTTTACTTTAAAACCTTAAACGACATCTAACAAATTTTGTATAAAGCCAGGTACTAAAATGCTATAGGAAATTGAAATTTGAACTGTAACAAAACTTATAGTTTGAAAAATCGCTAGGAAAAAACATTGCAAGAAAGGCCCAGTTTTTTTTTCGATTTTTCCGGTACTTTTACAGTTTCCCCCAGCAAAGTTCCAGTCAGAGCCCTGCACAGCCTCTAAACTGATTGCCAAACGCTGAATTGCATAACCTAACGATATGAATGAATAGTCAAAAATTAACATGATGCAGTTGACCTAATTACAAGGCACGTCCATAATATGCTAATTATGCAAGTGACCTGTTGCTAAGCTGCTTAAACTGTTTTATTATGTGAAATGATATCTTAATATTAGCACAGACAAAATACTACAGACGGCTCATGAGATATACGAAATGTTTGCGCTGAAAAAACATCCGTCTGCTAGCGCTACTGCCGTAAAATGTTCAAATGCTTAGCTCGTAAATGCACTTTTTTTTATCGTAAACGAATGGTTGGAAACTGTACTGTAATACTGTTAAATAAATATGAGAAGGCATGCGTAATTTAAATGATTTAAAGAAAAGAATATCATATTTCCTTAAGTCAAAACACAATCTGTAGGTCAGGATATCCCATCTCAGGTGCATATTATAATTACGAAAGTTAGGACATTTGCAAATAAATTTTCTCGTTATTTTTTTACGGATACGGATTACAACGGAATGACACCATTTATTCAAAAATACATTTTCATGAGGTGGGCCATTTTCGCTGAGACGGAGCTCCTCCGTTTTTGCATTGTGTAACCATTTATTGTGGGATGTCGAATATGAACTTTGAATTAAGGTTTAAAGGGAATCGCATTACTTAACCGTTAAGGGATATAAAAAAAGACACTAACACTTGAACAGTTCATATACACCTTTTCTTTTCATAAAGACGTATTTTTGTGTTTTAAATAGTCTATTATTACAATTATTGTTTTAAATACCTAGATACTTGTTAACTATAAAAATGGCCAAAGCAGGAAATGTTTGTCAATACTTTCAATGTGGTGTTTCAAAACGAGTGGAACCCAATCTAAAAATGTATGGATTTCCTTTTAAGGATGAAAACCTGTGCCGCGTTTGGGTTAATAATGCTGGTTAGTCCTTCTTGGTTCATTGATAGTATGAACTATTACCAATTAATGCTGCTATGAAGTTCGCCGTGAAAAATTGGTGGTTCGAAAATGAACGAATGGTATCTAATCCTTAATTCAAACGAATTGTTGTGTCGCAACTACTCTACGTGGTGAGATATACGAGAATCGAATGTTATATTATTGAAAATACTATACGCAGTTTAAGTAAACGGCATCAAAAATTCGCTATGTGTAATGTGTGTATCAATTTCGTTTGCAGAACCGAAGATAACTTTGTCATTTGTTAATGTTTGTTGAGGTTGAGGTTTTCAGGTTTCACTTTCTCATTACTGGGTGACTTATTTCCTACTTTTAAATGTTGCACATATAAAAGCTTGCCGACATTGTTCTTAAATGTCATCGATTTCGATGCAAACAATCTAATTTTGAGCTTTGCTGGTTTGTGATACCTACATTCAATTTAGAAGAAGGGTATATTAATCGCCGGAGGTTTTCCGAAATCATTTCGGTATACTATGATGAAGTTGACCGGCTGTGATTTTCTGGAACCGGATTTTCCAGAAACGGGAGAGATACCTTGAATCATCCAAACAAGTTTTGCTACACTGAATTCTGAAGAAGGTAATTCATTTATCTTTGGGGATTTATGCAGAATTTGTTTGGGGCTCTCAGCTCTCATCAAGTTGAATAGGTAGGTACCTTATACATTTTCGAACCCATTTTTGGTGACCAACTTCACGGTGGCCCAATTATATACAATCATCAAATAAATCTTCCCTATAGATAAAAAAGCACGTCTTTACAGGGGCTACACATCTGATTCCACTGTCACCGAATTCATAAAAAAAAAAATCTGTGAAAAACATTTCCGATTGGAAGACTTCACAAAATCTTCCAAAGAAAGGCTCATTAAAGGCGCAGTGGTAGAATCCAAATTAACCGGATAAAATAGTAAATTGGTAAATACATCAATATGAAAGGAACGGTATTTTGTGAATTTTATCACCTTTTTGTGAAATTGATATCGGTTGTTGTAAAATAAGTATTTTCAAATGACTTTGGACACATTTAATTATATTGAGAATCAAATAAACAAATATAGAAAACGAGCTCCTGGGTATGGCTGTAGCATGTGCACAACCAAATTTTAATCCTGATGTTAGTTTTGCTTTTATTTAAAGTGTAATTGTATGACATTTCATTTAATTGCTTCCATAAATATGAAAGTTGGCACTGCGCATGCGCAAAGCCAAATTTTGAAACTGGCGTTAAATTTGCTTTTATTCCAAGTGCCCATGTATCAAATTTCATTTAAATACCTTCATAAATAAAAAGTTTGCAATTCAGTTTATAAATGGTCGAGATGCGAAAAGGGCATTGTGAATGTTGATCGATTAGGCTCAATTTTTGAAATTGCGTTTTATATAGCTAAATCTATATGCATATTGAATTTCATGCAATTCGGTTCATAACTCACAGAGATGTCAAAAGGGGCTTCCTTATTTTTTGGTCTATATGCATATTGAATTTCATGCAATTCGGTTCATAACTCACAGAGATGTCAAAAGGGGCTTCCTTATTTTTTGGGCTACATTGCCAATTCACGAACTCCGATCTACAAATTTGATAAAAGAATCCCTGTACTAAATTTTACTGTCATCGGTCCATTCGTTATCGAGATATCGTGCTAACGGACGAACTAGGGAATGCAATACCGGGATCCCGCGGGATTTGCGAGACTGAGGAATTTATCGACCAAGGGGCGACTCTTGTTTACTTTGTTAATGAAACTCATAACGGAGAAGTTATTTTTTAAATAATTGTTAAACTTTTTTCGTTAAAAATGTACCTACTATGATTTTTGAGGCACTTTAGTTCACCTTTTGTGCTTTACAGGTGAGGTTTTTTTGAGCTCTAAGTTAGGCTGAAGGTAATNTATTGCCTGAGCACAAAGATTACATCTCGAGGCGCTTGCGCCGAGGGGTGTAAGGTGCGAAGGCAATAATAGACTTCTCTACCGTGGTATATACACTATTTTTTTCACTACTAGCACTTGAAATCCTCTAAATTAACATATTATATTGATAAGAGAGTTAACGGTTGGACAGAATTGTTTGTTTCTTAATTTAACATGTCAATCAAGTACGTGAAGTACAAGTCAAACAGGCCGTATTTTGTTCTGTCATTGAGATTTTTCAAAGGGTAATTTCGTTCGAATTTTTTCAAAATGTGATAATTTAGGTATGTAATTTCTCTGGAAATGGCGGATGGTGGCAATTATTCATTTAAGAGAAC